TTGCAGACAGTCTCCAGAAGAGATGTGTTATCAGCAGACTGAACCAGCCTCAGTTCCTCTCTGGATAAATATTTAGATTTCACTCTGAGTTGTGCACCTCCGCCTCTGTAGTTTCACATCATAGTAGATACTATTTAAAGTCCATAGGCTCGCCTCGCTTCCTTTTTTCACATTAAAACAGATGTTTTCTCAGAGCAGCTGCAGGCTGCATCACAGCCATTCTCCCCTCAGTGCTGTGGGTTAGAGTCAGTGGTAGGGTCAGGGTTAGGGTTAGGGCCAGAGTTTGGTTCAGGGTCAGTGTTTGGGTCAGTGGTCGGGTCAGGGTCAGTGTTGGTGCTTCACCGTGCTGCACTAATGATAGTGTTCAGCATCTATCTGACTTCACCACAAGCGTTCATGGAGAAATCAAAGATGTGAATCAGAAAGAAGAAATCAATCAATCAGATCCTTCAGAACTTGCTGGGAAATCACAATGTTTAGTTTTGTTGTCAGACATCAGTGATCGTTGTTTGTTTTCTCTGGTACGTAAATAACAACACCAGTTTCCCGACATGTCAGCAGACAGCAGCTCGGGCTGAAGAGAGCATGCAGGAAACTCCTTCAGCTGACCTTTCATGAGACTTTACAGCGTCGCATGTTTGTTGTGTGGAGAACAGAACACGTTTCATCCGAACCAGCAGCTGGTGATTCTGGGATGTTCTGCTTGTCAGCATGAACCATGTTTTTTTTGCAGTGGTCAGAGTGGTTCTGCATGACGGTCTGGGAACCCAAATGGTGCCTGTTGTGATGAAGACATGTTGGAGTTTGTGACCTCCAGTTCCACACACACACACACACACACACACACACACAGGTTCCGTTAATAAGGAGGAGAAGGTGGAGGTGGAGGTGCAGGGTGAAGCTTTACTGCAGTTTGTGGAAGAGTCTTTCTTCAAGCAAATTATCTTCATGTGGCTCAATCCTTTGTCACATTACCGTTCCCACGTACGTCGCTGCCTCACTGGCCAGCAGAGATGACCAGGTGATGACCTGGCATTCCTCCTCACTGGACTCCAGTCCTGAGCCGAGAACTTGTGGCCTTTTCAAACATGAGGTTTACAGAGATGAAAGACAATCCACCTCTTTGAACCGCATTCAGGAGGCTGCGGCTGCTGCTTCAGCGATATTTGATCCCGAGCAGATCAAGAAGCTGACAGGCCCGTGGATGGAGCGCTCACGGCAGCTGTGGACAGGAAGGGGAACGCTTTGGTCGCTGAAGGTTTCTGGAAGGCAAAAATCTTCACTGTCATTTTGGTCCACTTACTCTAAATAAAAGTGAGTTTAGAAAAATCATTTTTGTATTTAGTTGTCTACTGATGTTGCACACTTTCACCATATATTGGAAAGTTCTCACTTTTCAGTCATTCATCATTAAGATTGGAAGTTAAACAACATTCTGGATTAACTGAATTACAGTCGTTCAACAATGAAAGTAATCCTGAGATTCATCAGAGCTCTCTCCTCGCCCCTCATGTGCTCTTTCCTCATATCTCACCTCGTACGTCTCACCATCATCACTGTTCAGCACCTCAGCCTGGAACAGGAATCAGCAGACGGTCCAGCAGGTTGTTGATGATTTATAGAGAAGTTTGTATTTAATCCAAACTGTAGACGAGGAGAGTCGTAGCTCCCACCACCAGGACGGGTGTGTGTGAACGGATAACTGACAGCGTTCAGCGTCTCTGAGTGCTGAGAAAAGCACCATATAAATCTGATCAATTATTATTATCAGTGTGATAGTTTTTGTGTACGTGTGGCATTCAGAGAGGTTCAGGGCCTCAGCAGTTTACACCCTGGATCTGAATTCACACACTTAGTGTAATACGACAGTGTAATTACATAGTAATAGTGATGCGATAGTGTAATTACATAGTAATAGTGATACGATAGTGTAATTGCATAGTAATAGTAATATGACAGTGTAATTACATAGTAATAGTGATACGATAGTGTAATTACATAGTAACAGTAATACGACAGTGTAATTACATAGTAATAGTGATACGATAGTGTAATTACACAGTAATAGTAATATGAACCAGTGAAAGATCAGAGCTGCCTGCAAACTGGAGCTGAGGATGAAGGCCTACACAGTGACTGGAGCCTTCAGTGTGTTTAGACATGAGGTGAACGGGATGATATGAAGCTCGTGACAGAAATGAACAAATATACAAACAAGCAGCTTGTGGCAGATCAACAGTAATTACCTACAAGTAGTTTGTTGCAGGATTGATGGCTGACAGGAGCTTCTAGGAAATGCTGAACTGTGAACAGCTAAAGTTATTCCCCCTTTTTTTGATCCAGTTAGTCCTGGAAGCTGAGCAGAATAGAACAGAAAGCTTTTTATGCTTTCATATGTGCTGACAGGTGCCCTTTGATTAGAGATCGACAGACTGAATCTGCATCAGAGTCACACAACTGCTCCTCTGTGTTCTACAACCAAACTGTAGGAGACCATAGTGAAGCCTTAAACAGCTTTCTGTTGGGTCGGCTCAGACTGAATCCTGCAGCCGTCTGTGTCAATGTTGTGTCAATGTTGTGTCAATGTTGTGTCAATGTTGTGTGATGTTTCTGTCAGAGTGGTTCTGATTCAGCACTCAGTTGAAACGGTGTGGATCAGTCTGCTGACGGTCAACAGCAAAGTGAGACGAGTGTTTGTTCACAGAAATGTCTGCAGCTTCCTGTCTTCAAGCTGGAAGCCATCTGCTCATGTGGTCAGTACGTCCCTTCTCTCCATACATTCACCATGCAAGTGGTGGGAAGTCTCTTTTGTTCACAACTTTACCTGAAGCCAATATGAAGCATTGGAAAAGCACCACTTGTGTTTAGTAAGAATCTTTGACTCCTTAGTGACTTCTCCAGACATGTTTCATGATGTGGACTAGAGGTCTGGGATGGCTCACAAACAGCCACAACAACGGGAACTCCATCACACTGGAGTAGCAGCAAATGATGTCAATGTGAGGAATTACAGCACGGATGTACTTTGGTTTCTTATGTTCTCGTTAATTATTTGACGTGCACAGACGAATACAGGTTCAGCTAACGTCTCGTTTTTGTGGCTGACCACCGATCACAACAGATAAAATAGATGCTGCAGTATCTGAGGGGGAAAAGTTTATCTATGGGCAAAACATCCACAGTATATTCATGGGTTCCTAAACACCGAAAAGCTCAATAAAAAGAACGATAGGACAAGCAGCAGTTCTGCCTTTAGGGTCAGACAGCTGGGATGGAGCTCACAGCGTCTCTGGGTGAAGTGTAGAACAGCACACTCATTTTAATGTCATTGAACGCTACATCCTTCAGTAGTGCTGCTTACCGTCAGCTACGAGCAGAGGAAAGCCTCGTGTTTAGTTTGTACATGTAAAGTTATGAACAAAAGTGTCACAGAGCAGGTTCAGGAACTCGTGCTGACCAGGCTGATAAAGACAGAACAATAGTTATTTCAACAATAATAATGTTTACAAATCAAGAAGTCAGGTCAAAGGGGAACAGGAAGTAATCTAAGAACTGACTAGTGGCCAATAGAGCCACCTAGAGGTCAGGTGGAGCACCTACCTTACAGAATCAGATTAGAAACTAAGGCGAGCTAAACGCTAAACACATTGAAAACCAAGAGACCCAAACTGGATCCCACCAAGTCAGGAATGTAACGGATAATCTGACCACAAGGACCAGCTATGCTAATGTACGCCATTATAGATAGACTTTAAACAGGAAACTATCGGACCAGCGGGAGACAGGAAGTGTACTGACAGCAGGTGACCGAGGGGAGGGGCGGGGCATGGCGGCGCAGGGGAGGGCTGTCCAGGTGGACGAATGGAGGACCAGAGCCCAGTGGGTCCAAAGAGAAGGTAGCTTACAGTCCAGCGTCGTGCTGCTGTCTGGAGGCAGCCTGTCACCAGAGACGGTGGCAGGAGGACCACTCCCCGCCACAGGTGTGATCCTCAGGTAATCAGCCATACTGCTGCACCTGTCTGAACCTTACACACCGTGAACACGCCCACCTAGCAAAGAGGGAGAGAAAGGGGAGGGAGAGCAGGCCAAGAGGTGGAGGCATGACAACAAGATAACATCCACCTGGAAAGACCGTGTGTGACTTCTACAGCTCTGAATGATGGAATCATAGAAACACATGCATCTTTCTCACACACAACAACAATCATGCATTTTGGCATATTTCCAATCTGGATGACTACCAATGGATGACTACCAAAAGTTCCTAACTGAGGTGACTCCTGCCTAAGTCTTAGCACTGCTGTATGTCTGTTGTTGACCCAGCAGATGTTTGTCATATTTCCACACAGACCTATTTTAAATCTATTAAAGAACTGTGCCTAAGGTTCTGGGCTGCAGGTGTCTCGGTGGTTAGCAGCGTTAGCGCCTCACAGCTAGAAGGTCGCCGGTTGGCGTCCCGGTGAGGACACCCGGGATCTTCCTGCGTGGAGTCTCCATGTTCTCCCCGTGCAGCGTGGGTTCTCTCCGGGTTCTCCGGCTTCCTCCCACAGTCCAGAAACATGCTGAGGTTAATTGGTGATTGTAAATTGTCCGTAGGTGTGAATGTGAGTGTGCTTGGTTGTCTGTCTCTAAGTGTAGCCCTGTGATAGACTGGTTACCTGTCCAGGTGAACCTGCCTTCACCCTGAGTCAGCTGGGATAGGCTCCGCCCCCCCATGACCCTGGTGAGGATTAAGGTGTAGAGATGATGGATGGAGGGACAAAGGTTCATGGGTTTCAGTGATTGTCAGTAAATTAAGAGATCGAGGAGTCACTTAAAAGTCCAGATGCTGGATAGACGGTCTTTAGTCTTTTAGTGTCTGTAAACTTTTGTTCACACTGGTTCTGTTTTGCATTTTCATCCTCCTCAAAGCTCCGACTTTAAGCTGGAAACAGCGCGTTTTGTTGAACGTCTGAACACTTGTGATGACTCATTGTGACCCTGTGTCTGTGTGTGTGCAGGTAAAGGTGACGTGTTTGGTGACGTGTTCTGGAAGGAGATGACGTTGGCTCAGTCCTGCGCTAACGTCCGAGCTCTGACCTACTGCGACCTCCACATCATCAAACGGGACGCGCTGCAGAAAGTGCTCGAGTTTTACTCCAACTTTGCAAACCACTTTTCCAGAAACTTGGTGCTCACCTACAACCTGAGGAAGAGGGTGAGTCAGCTTTTGGGATGTACACTCAGTGCACGATTATTGGTTTCATTTTATTTAACATGCATTTAGTGAGAAGCTCACCTGTGTCTGCAGTGAAGACGATTAGCGTCCTGATGTCTTCGTCCTGTGTTTAAACAGTTACAGAGAGAAATGTCTTGATAACAGAGATATTCAGTGTATGAGAGACTTCAGGACCAGAGCGACAGCGTGAGTCCTGTGAGGACAGACGGTGTTGCAGCTTGGTGCTGAGCTCTCTGTTGGCATCTACAGAAGCTGCTTTGTTCTTCCACAGCAGCAGGTGTGACTGTCAGCAGCAGCGACTGCGGAGGTGGCTGATGACAGACTGATGTGTGAACACCTCGACACACACACTCTGCTCAGTTTAAACATTCAGTTCGGTTCATGTAGGCTGAACAGAAGAGAAATACAATACCTGAGTGGTTTAAAGACCAAGCAGCCACACCTCGCTGTCCCTCCAGCCATGTTTGGAAGAAATGTTGTTACCTGGTCACTAATTCTTAAAATTCAATCTACATCACTGCCCTCATTTGAAAATTCTGAATCTATAAATCTATTGTTTTAGTTTCAGAAAGGTTAAGGTTTTTATTTATGCGTTGTGCTCCACATTACAGGTTCTAGTTGGTTTGTTCCACTGGGCTCTGAAGCCCTCAAGCATGAGGCAGCTGAAGTCTATATCAGGTTTCTGGTAACACAGCTCATGTCAAGGTCTGGAGATAGTGAGTACTGAGGAACTGGGCAGGTGCAGGGACCAGAGCAGCCATGGCGTGGCCAGGTGTTACACAGGAGGAGGGACGGACCACAACTCAACCACCGAGTCCTCACAGATGTCGTTTCGAGGACTTAAAACATCTGCTGCTAATGTTTTGGTGCCAGATATCAGGGTCAGCGTTCGACTGACTGTTTCACTGGTGGCAGCCCTCACCTGGTCCAGGTGCTGATCCACAGACTCCACATGTAATGCATTCCCTGAACAGACAGTAGAGCGAGCACAAATAAAGTGTTCTAAAGTCAGATTTGTCCAAGATGAAGCCGTGGGATTTTATCCACCTGCTGTTTTCTGTGAGCGGAGACGACGTGGCTCGTACCTGCTCTCAGGTGTTTATGAGCAGAGGACCGCCGTCCATCGTGTTCATGTAGCTGTTAGAAGCTGAAGTTATGACTGTGGTTAATAATTATTTATTGTGCAGCCCTGCTACTGCATTAGCCGTTAGCTAGCTCACCGGCTCAGTCTGCTCCTGCTGCACCTGCGCTCTGGTCACCAGGTGAGTCTGACTCGGACTCTGCTGGTTGAAGAAAGCGCATCAGGCAGGATCGGACCGGCTACAACAGGAGCTGCCTGTGCTGGTTAAAGCGACAACAAAACCGCTAAATGATCATCATTCACTCGCACGAGTGCCTGACTGCCTGGAGTCCAGGCCTCAGCAGGGTCAGCAGCATCGTGGGCAGGTGGAGGTGTTTGGCTCATCGGGCCACAGGCAGAGAGGCTTCACACTTTCACATCTGGTGAAGCAAGACTGGCTGACAACTTCTTATACACACCAGAAATTCAGATCTGAGGTGAGCTCCATGAAGCTTTCAGCCACACGTCATTCTGCACAGTCCAGGTGCAAAACCTGAAACTAAAGGTCACACGGTAGGACAACACTGGGTGTTCCATCTTCATCTCAGCTGTCTGTAGGTTAAAAATGTTCACGTGACTTTTCCAAAACGCCAAATCCGAAGATGAAAGGGACTTCAGCTGCAAGGGAGAATCAGACCAGAAGAAGTCACCATCTGACCCTAAAACGAAGTCACGGAAAGTCTTTGTATAAGAATCTAGACTGAAATAATTCAAGACAAACTGAAACTACACTGTGTTTTGATGCAGCTCAGTTTGTGAACCACAGGATGAGCCTTGTTCTGTTCCAGACATTACACCTGATGTTCATCTTACATGATATCAGAGTCCATGTCTGGAGAAGGTCTGCTGTCTGAAGCTGAAGCTCAGATAACTGTGTTTAGATGCTAATGCACTGATCTGCTGCATTCTCAGACTCTTAGAGACTACATACGATAAATGATTTACAGGAACCAACTACTGTAGAACAATAAGAAACACCAAGTTTTGCTCTCCTCCGTGCTCACGTGAAGCCAGCAGTGACTGAGCTGCAGCTCATGGTCATGTGACACCAAGTCAGAGTCCTACAGGATGAAGTCCAGGCTGCTCACAGGACACAGGGATGGACATCATGGAAATATGGAAGCATTCAAACATCTATAGGATGTGGAATCTCTGTTTCCCCCCAACACCTTTGGACACGTGGAACAATGCTGGATTCCATGTTGTCTCATGTTTTATAAAAGAATAAATGAAAAGAGAAATTCACCTCAAACTCTTTGGTATGATTTATGGGTGCCCTGATGCTGCTGTTTCCACAGCTGGGCTTTACACACAGTCCACAGCAGCTGTAGCTTCTCCAGCTTCTCAGAAGGTGGAAGATTCACGTGAAGAGTTACAGCAGCCTGATTACCACGACCAGACACCCTGACTGGTGCTACCACCATCAGTAGCACAAGCTTAGATGAACTGATTTTAAAGGCCTTCTATTGATCAGAACAACAATCAATGCAGTGACTGAGCGATTTCATCAGTGATCCATTACATCAGACGGCTGGACGTGTTCATGAGACCAGAACCTTTAGGTCCTGCTGAGTGGCTGAAGGACAGAAACAGTCCACTGAAATAAATGTGAGTCTGATTGTTGAACAGCTCTGAGTTCAATGAATGGATTCGGCTGATAAAGGTTACACACAGAACCATCACGTCTGTTCCCTGTTGAACCGCTACAGTTCTGCCATTTGGACCTTTCACACTGATTTTTAGAAGGAAGTTGATTTGCTAGCAGACAGAACCAGACCAGAAACACCTGGACCACCTCATCTACTGTCATTCAGCATCAGAACCAGGTTTACACAAGACGAGCAGTTTGTTCTGGTGGGTCGGTGCAGCAATAAATACACAGTGAGGTATAAAAATATGAAAAAAGCTAAAAAAATAAAAGTAACTGTAGTGGTGCTGAACAGAAGCAGGAATGAGTGCTGACATTAGGGGCCGCAGCCAGAACACAGTAATGTGGCAGGACTGGAGTGGATCCAGTCAGGCCGGGTCAGGACGTCTGGGTCACTGGTGCCAGAAGTCTCTGTTTCTGCCCGTCCAGACCAACATGCAACTCCAGAGTGTTGTAGGATCCTAACACTTCAAAAGCAGAGTGAACACTAGGAATAAAGATAAAGGAAGTGAAGCGTAGCCTGAAGCCTGTTGGACGAGACCACATGGATCTGCAAACGCTCTTTGTTCTTCCTCTAAGCCCTGAACACACTTCAGGCCCAGAATCTGTGCTTGGTTTAGACATTGAGCTCCTTCAGAGTCGAACCCTCGTCACATGCTGTCGGTTCCCTCTGAGATCCAGCAGGACTGCATCAGCTGTCAGCCTCGAACCAGATAATAAGATAATAAGATGCAAAACCTTTCATTTAAGCTCGATACGACACTGAAGCAAAAACCAGCAGCTGCTTTAAAACCACAGGACCTGAAACTACTTTAAGTTTTTCTTTGAAGTGAAAACACCTGATGAGTGACACCTAGCTGGAGCTGAAGGTCAGCACACCTCACACCTGCTGTCAGAGCGCTGATATCAGAGAGGAGGTGGAGGACACACCAGCCCCTGGAATGAAACCAGACCTAACACGTGATCACTTCAGTACTGCAGAATAAATAAACCAGACTGAACAATGGATGTTTATTTGAATTTACTTGTTAAAGGCCTGTAACTCCAACCCTCATTCTGGATCAGATTCAACCCGTCAGCGTGATGTCTCTCCCGGAGTCTTCTGCCTCATGCTGAGCTTTATCTGTCTGTAGCAGCAGGAGTCTGTTCTCCACGTGGGTTTAATCATTCTGAGCTCTGCTCAACACCTCACTGGAGCTTCAGTGGGTAGATAAAGGACTTGGATCCCAAGTCAGCATCCTGAACTCTTGGTCATGTTCCTCAAACAGTTGCTGAACAATGTGTGCTGTGTTGCAGGAAGCATTGTCCTGCTCAGAGGCCACTGTTGCTCTCATGAAGGGCTGTACGGGGTCCAAAACGAGGTGCTGTGAGGTTGTTAGGACCCAGAATCCAGAACCCTGTCCAAAGCAGCACACTGCCTTCTTCACATAGTGCAGCCTGCCGCCACATCTTCTCCTAGCAGACACATCCACATGATGGAAGGGATTCACTCGACCAGGCCTCCTTGGTCCACTGGTGACATTCACATGCCCATGTAGGTCCTGAGGTCAGCGTGGTACTCAGACCAGCTTACAGCTCCTCAGCTGTGTTCGGACGCCTGCATGTCTCTGCAGCATTCAGGTTTCCAGCAGTTTCCTGGTCTGCAGGATCACACAGGGCAGCCTTTGGTCCCACATCAGTGAGCTCTGGGCCCTGTCACAGTTCATCAGCTGTCCTTTCAAAGATACTGAACACCGGGAACAGCCCACAACACCTGCCGTGGTGGAAATGCTCTTATCTCGTCATCAAGCCATCAGAGTTTGGTCAGATGCTCACGATGGCCAATTCTCCTGCTTATCCGACCCACTGACAGGCGCCACTGCCATGAGATCTGATTGGCTCTCCCCAGATAAGACCAGCATGAAACCAAACAATATAAAATTACAGTTTCTGCATTTCTTTTTGTCTTTAAAGGAGAATTGCCACAACAGATGTACATGTATGATGTAGCAGACAAAGCAAGCCTCAGCTGGACGGGTTTACCGGGCGTGTCTGTTTCTAGCCCAAACCTGAACTACATCAGAAGGAAACCGCACCCACTAGCAAAGTGTTTTCCATGCAGAGATCTTTCAGTTAGATGAAGACAAAGGAGGAAGTATAGAACACTGATGTGGGCCATATTCTCCTGGTACAGATAGATGGATAGATAGATAGATAGATAGAT